GAATGGGAGTAGTCTTATTTTCCCTATTATTTAAGCAAGCAAATATTTACAGAAGCCAGAATAGCAGGGTTAAAATTTTCAACAGCAGTTTTTACCCAAGATGGAGGTTACTATGCTTCAGGCTGAGGCAGGAGAAAATGATTTTATTATCGTTTTGACAACCTAGAAACTTAAACTTTTGAACTTTCCGGTCCAGCATCGATGCCTGGATCACCCTGTGGTTACCTCCTGAAGGACTCACATACCCAGACCACCTGGCATCCGTCATCCAGACCAACTGATCTGGTTGATACCCATCCTGGACCTGTCCTACCGCTAAGAATGCAGGACTGGCTATTCTCACGCATGCACTTTCTACTATAAAAACTCTTAATGTTTTACTCTTTTTTGGAACACTTCTGGATTTTTGCCTTCCTGTGTTTCCATTTGCAAATTCTAAGACTCTTGAATAGATCTTTATCATTTATTTCTAACAAAGCCCCCAGACTATTTTTTATTTTGTTTGACAAGTTCTACTAACACACACACACACACACACACACACACACACACACCACTGGCCTGGACTCTCAGGCACTTTGCTGTCTCCTAGAAGTTTTCCCCAGCCCAGCGGTATTTGCACAACTGAAAACACCCTTTTCCCTTAGTTTAGAGAAGAATGAACTGGAATTTCTCAAAACAAACAATTATTAAGAAAACTGGGGGGGGGGACCCCTTAAAGAACAAAGGGAAAGTGGAGCGTTCAGAGAGACCCATGGTCTTCAGCCCAGATGTCCGTCCTTAAAGCGGAGACCTGAGGACACTCGTGGGCAGGGGCATAGGGCCATCTCCGAGGGACAATGGGACTTTCCAAGTTCTCGAGGGACTGGCCCTGCAGACGCTGAGGAAGGGAAGGGTGCCACGACACCTGCCTGCCCCAGTGCCACTGTCACAGGACTGCCCACCGCAGCCTCCACAGTCTCAAGACTCTGAGCTATGAAACGTTATTTTTCCCTCCCAGTCAGTCAGCAGGGGTGACCTGGCTTTGCCTCCTCTAGGGACCTGGGCTTTGTGGGGTCACCTCACCTACAGGCTAAGAAGAGAGGCAAGAAGTTGAGGCTGGAGAGGCAGCCTGGAGCTGCCCCCTTAAGTAGGACAGAGGATAGCTGAGAGCCTCATGGCTGCCCTCTGGTGGCCATCGTGGGTAGTCAAGAACCTACACACCAGCCTGCACTGTGGTCAGTTCCATGCGTTGGACAACTTCATTGTAAGAGATCATTCGCTACTCAGTCCTCGCCTGGTATGCAGCTCTACAGTTTAGATACAGACAACAAAAATGGAGCACAGCTCTTTCCCTGAACCGGGCAGATTTCACATGTTGGGACTTCTTTCCTTTCTAGATTTTTTAATTTAGATTCGGTTAGGAAATAGGACCTTCTACATTTTTATTTCAATGAGCATCCGCTAAACAGCTCTGAGTCCTTCATCTTTGTATTGACTGTGATAACAGAAACTATAGCCAGGATTGACGTGATGGGAAGAACCAGGCTTTTTCTTCCAACACTGGGAAATGTCGTGCCCTGCACACCTTTGCTGCTCCCTCCGCCCTGCTGGAAGAGGCTGCCCTTGGCAGGGCCCCGAGTGGTCAGCTGTCTCCTGCTTCAGCACCCATTGCTCACTGTGACTCTGCTCAGGGGGATCCCCTCTCGAGCTCTTTGAAAGAACGGCCTGTGTTGTACTTGTTTCCAGAATTCTTTCCCACGGGGGTTACAGATGCATAGCTACTTTTATTGTCAGTGTCATGACCGCTGTCATCATCGGTGTGAGCTCCTACCCTCCCAGGGATTACACATGCCAGATGCTCTATAAATGTTTAAAGCATGCGTGTGCACAAGATGGGAAGCCAGCAACGTGTTTGGTGAATGAGTGAAGGGATGGATGAGTTTCCAGCTCTCCCCTCTCAATGAGGCACAATCCTGGCTTTGTTTCTGTCTTCTGCAGCCTCCCTTCAAAAGCAGACCCTACCCAAGCCTCAGACCCCTCCCACCCCGGCTCCTCCAGGCCATTCCACTGAATTCTCTCTTCGCCCCTCAGCTTCTCCCTCTGCAGTTGTGTGCATCAGGTCACTGGCCCATCAAAGATCCCACTCCCTCTACCTACACCCAACAGGGCCAGGGCGAGGAGGAGGCAGGAGAGGCACCTGGGGCACAGAATTTAAGGAGGCATCACCCTCAGGGCCATGTATGTGTGAAAGTGCCATCTTCTGGCGGGGGGGAGGGTCCTTTCACGGGATCGCAGGGGCCCACCCGCGGGAGATTGTGGTGTGGTGGGATTTATTTTGGGTGGAGATAGAAGGCTGCCCCCAAGTTCCAGGGTCTCATCTCCCTCCGTCCCCCTGTGGAAGAAGGCCAGTGTTGTCCTCATCAAGCCCGATACAAAGGCCAAGGTAAGAAAGTTCTGTGCGTGTCAAAGCATAGTTCGTATCTGTCCCCATCCGGCCAGCACAGTCCGGGCTCAGCTGGCCCTGTGGCCGTGTTGGGTCCGCTCAGCTGCCGGCACAGGTGACTGCTAGACCTACATGATCCCCACAAAATTCGTGAACAAACAGGACTAGTGAGAGAGAGAGAGAGAGAGAGAGAGAGAGAGAAAGCGCCCTTTGTCAGGCCGATTATATTATCTCAAGCTTGGGAAAAACCAGGCACTTCTTCAAACTAACCATTCAACTTCCCAAGCTTTCCCAGGCTTCTGATGTGTCCACCCCCTAACCAATCTATTTCCTCGATCTTCCAGGATTTGGGTCCCTTATCCAATCCGATCTTTTCCCCAGGCTAGATAGACCGGCCTCTACTGTTGCCATCTGAGCTTTTGCTGCACATGCGCCCAGCAGAGTAATTTCTTCTGTTGTTTTTATTCCTCTGGAGGGTGGAGGATGCCCGGGGGGAGGAGGGGGAGCTGTAATTCTTAGCGAAGCACTCCGAATATTGGATTCTGCTTCCCAGTTTATTATGCTTAATAATGTCTGGGTCCCTTTGCTCTCTGCCTTTATTAATATCTAGTTACCTACGCTGACAATCTCAGGGTATTTGAGATGCATCCAATCCACACATCCAGGCCCTGCCTCAAACCCAGCCTTCCTGCCTCTCCCAGCACTGCTGCCTACACTGGCTGGCAGGGGGGTGGGAGGGCTTGGGCTCCCCGCCCCAGGCAGCAGCTTTGGGGCTGGCCAGGCCCTGGTGGCTTACTGTCGGCCGGCAGCTCGTGCCAGCAGCTTCTCCATTCTATGGAAACGGGAAACCGCACAGTTGAAGGCAGACAGGAAGACGGGGCGTAGGTGGGGTTCCTCCTGCGCTCTCAGCCCCCATCCTGAGCACAGCCTTGAAGTTCTGCCAGAGGCTCCCCCACGCTGCCCTCCTCCTCACCCCTGGCTCCCAAAAGCCTGCTGCGTGCTCCTCCTTTCTATCTGGGCTCTGCCTCTGCCTCCTTCCCTGCCCCACTCTCTCCTCTCCTCTAACAACCCCCCCCTTTTTGTCCCTTCCTCACCTCTCCCCTGGGAGGAAACACAGCCATCAGGCCAGTCCAGGGAGCTAGACGGGGCATCCATGGGCATGGCGCACCTTGCACACCCACCCCAGTGCCCCGGCCCCGAGTCTCTGCCCCCAGCAGCTCTCCAGGTTCATGTGAGCTCAGGCAGCTGCTTGGCCATAGTCACCACCTGCTCCCCGCCCCCAGCCTCCGGCCCCCAGCAGAGATGGGCTGATGGCGCTACTGTGCCTGTCCCGGCTTCCAGAAGAGCCTAGAAGGCTGGGGGCAGCCCACTGCCAGCTGCTCTCTAAGGAATGCAGGAGCCCTTGAACTCACCAGCCAATTGACTCCAGTGCACGCCCTGGAGCAGGGTAAATACTGTGGTCTGACCAGTGAATGGCAGTAGGGGAACCTGCCACCGCAGGCTTAACCCTTCCTGCTCCTTCCTGGTCCATTTTCTGTGGGTGTCACACACCCTGAGGTTTTCCCTGTGGGGAAGGGGGGTATTTCCTAGTTCTCCCTGACCCCCTCCTGCGCTGGTGGTGATGACCGGGTTACGTAGCCTGTCTTCTCATCACAACTGCAGATGCCTGGAGGGCAGGAGCTGTGCCTCTCACCTGTGTGTCCCTAGCCCCTGGCTCAGAGATGCTCAGCCAATACCTGCTGCGTGAGTGATGGACTTGGCAATGGCTCATCATGACTGCCTTCCTTTGGCCTCTGCCCAGAGCCAGGCAGCTCTGTCAGGACCCCTGCTCTGCCCTCTCTCTGGAGAGTCCCTTCCTGCTTCGGTCAGAACCATCACAACCGCTGCCCCCAGGGCTTCCCTGCCGCCTCTCTCTCCCCAACAGCCCTGATGCCGTCCTCCCCCAGCCAGTTAGCACCAGCTGAGGGGCCCCGGCCCCTCCCTCCACGAGGAGCTGCTCAGAGCCTCCCCTTGACCACCAGCTCCAGAACCACTCGGAATGGAGAGCCCCTCGCAGCCCTGCTACCCCAGACTCCCTCAGAAGCCTCGTATGCCACAGGGTGATAGCCGCTGGTCTCCAGAACAAAAGTCTGATACTAACCCCAGTATTCCAGGCCCCTGGAATCTGGCCCTAACCCTCCTCCTCATTCTTACCCACTTCAGCCCTAAGGGATTCCTCCCCGGGGTCCTTCGCTTTCCCTGTTGCCCACTTAGGCCTCCCCAGAGCGTCGGAGGACAGGATGTGGGCTTGTGTGGGGGCCTTGTGGCCTGCGACTGCATATCCAGCCAAAGGCACGGGAAAGGGACTGACTTACAAGAATCGGCTCCTCGAAGAGCCCAGCCAGGCCTGCAGCCAACTTCCACTTTCCTCGGGATGTTCTCAGTTCCGGGGCCTCTTGTTTTGAGTGGAGATTCCTCCTTCTGCACATGGGACTTTCCAGAAGGGTCACAGCTCCTTCGATGCAGCCACGCGGCCTGTCCCCATTCAAGCCTTCCCCGCCGCAGGCAGAGGATGTCCTGGATGCTGGCGGTGGGGGGAGCGCTCCTGGCTCTCCGGAGAAGGGTGGCTGTGTGGTCCCTGTGGATGCCCCTTCTCTGGGCAGGTAAGTGGGGCAGGTGAGTGGCCTGTCCTCAAAGAGCTGCCCCCTCTGGCCGGCTGCCCCTCGCCAGATGTCTGCGCAGGGTCCCCCAATCCCAAGTAAGAACCCAGGCACTGGGAGGGGGTCTGCAATACTGATGCAAGCTTTGGGGCAACTTTTAAAACTAGGCCAGGCAAAGAGATGCAGGGTCCTGGGCGGAAGGAGGCAGCAGCCCTGGGAGAACCCATGCCCAGGAGACTCGAGCTGTGGTGTGGCCCAGGGCTGGTAAGTCTGAGGCTGGTGGCACCAGTGGTTTGGAATGAGCTGGCTGTGAGAATGGTGAGGGTCTGGCGGTGCTAACACGTGAGAATTCTAAATACTGTGTGTCTGAGGAGCACAGGGTAGGGCAGGGCAGAGCAGGGATCTTTCAATCTGAGGATGTATTTCCAATAGCCTGTGGGAAGCCAGGGCCCATCCTGAGGTCTGTGTAAGGGGTACTGAGTAGGGATGAGAGGCGAGAGCAAGTTTAATGCAGCACATGTGGGCCTGGGGGGCGGAGAATCTGGTGATGGGATGCCTGCCTGTTGGGTCTCTTCAGCCCCAGGCAATCCCTGCAGTCTGTCTGGTGCCCGACTTCCCTCCCTTGGGTGAGAAGTGCTCAGTATGACGCGGCTCAGCACCGCAAGGCCAGGGCATGGGAGTCCGGGGGTGTAGCAAAGACAAAGACACCTTTGTCCACCTCAGACCCACAGTGACTTTGAGATGACTCTGTCCAGTGTCCCTCCAGAGTCTCCACGCTTGAGGGCTCCAATCTCTGCAGCTTTCAACATTTCTAGACATGTGAAGGAAATTTCTCACAAAAAGAAATCTGTTTGGTTCAAAAATCTTTCAAATCCTTGGCCTTGGGAGGCAAAATTGATTTGGCCAAAAGCCTCTTGGTGGTAAACGAAATGAGTGCAACTGATGGGTGCACCCCTTACTTTATGGAGGGGACAGTAGGAGGCCAGAAAGGAGCCTGATTGCTGAAGGTCATACGGCTCATTCTGGGCAGAGCCAGGCAGGCTAGGACCCAGGAGTCCTGACTGCCATCCAGTGCTATTTCTCCTCTACATCCTGTCTCCACTCTGCATTCCCCTGAAGTCATCACCAATCAAGCCAGAGATGGTTGGCGCCAGGGAGTGCAAGGAGGCGTATGAGGGGCTAGAGTTTCCAGTGGCTGGTTGAGTGACCATTCAGAGCACGTCTCCTTAACCGAACTCCCAGCACCTGGGTCTGTCCTGCATCTCCTCTCGTTCTGCCCTGCACCCCTGCAGCCACCACTGTGCCAGGCACTAGGTAAATCAGCAAATCCTGCCATTCGTTCTGTAAAACTTGCTGAGTTTCTACATCCTCCTCCTGAACAGAGTGGGCACTGGGAGTGCAAAGATGGAGAGAGGAACTCACAGGCCAGCGGGAGACACTGACTCATAACCACGCGATAACAACAGAAACAAGGCCAATTCGTAGCAAGGATCCCAGGCTGCTGAGGGAACACGGAGAATGAGTGTGTAACCTGCAGGGATGGACGGGGGAGATTAGGGAACCCTGATGCTTCAAGGATGAGCAGACATTAGCCTGAGAAGGGGGCAGGGCGCACTTGAAGCAGAGGCATCACCCACAGGCCTCAAACTCCACACGTTCCCGGCAACACTCAGCCCCCTGCCGCCTCTCCCCCTTCTGTTTCTCCTCCTGTCCTGGGTCACAGAGAACTGGCACCTTTGGGTTCCAAGGACCTGGGAGCCATCCTTGACTCCTTGCTCCTTCGCTTCTCAGACCCAATCTACTGCCAGATCCACTGATGACACTTCTTATCTCTCTCAGTTCCTGCCACCTCTACTCCCCTCTGGTGCTCCCCCTCAATACAAACTTCCATCACTCACCTTTGGATTAAACAGGGGTGGGGAACCTTTTTCTGCCGAGGGCCATTTGGATCTTTATAGCATCATCCGAGGGCCATACGAAATAGTCAGCTTAAACATTAGCCGGCTATATTGGGTCAGACATTTAATGAACTCACCCCTCATGCCTTGGCAGGGCCAGACCCAATGATTTTGCGGGCCTACAGCCCAAGGACCGGATGGCCCCCACTCCTGGGTTAATAGAAGCAGCCTCGGGTTCGCCCCACCTACAGGCCTCCTCTGCCCCGCTCCAGGAGTGATCTCTCTCACAGGCCTCTAACCCTCTTCCTCTCTTACCCAAAACCTCTTCTAGGGCCCTCATTGCTCGGAGGATAAAGCCCAGGTGCCAGTGTCACTCTCAGGGCCCTGCACAATCTGGTTCTCTCTGGAAATTCCCTGCGTTTCTACGTCGCAGCTCTGCAGCACCATTCTTACCCCCCCTGCGGAGACCTACTTTCAGTTCCCTGTGCACATGCTCTCTCCCCCCGCAGGCCTTCGGACACGCTGTCCCCTTGGCCTGTAGCGCTTCCCATCCCCGCTCCAGGCAGCCCTCTGCTTGGCCTGACAAATTCCGCTTCTCCTTTGGCCTCAGTTTACCTAAACCCTCCAGACCAGGTGAGGTTACACCCTCACGCTACCGGTGTTCTCCCAGAGTCTCCCCCTTTTCCCATGATGGCACTTGGCTTGCTATATTTTAATTGCTATGTTTTACTATATGTTAATTGCTTGGCTTCCTCTCTGAGCTCCATGAGCACAGGTATGAATTCTTTTTAATTTTGTTCCCAGCCCCTGGGACAGTGCATTCTCAACATGGGTGAAGGGAGTCGGGGGAGAGGAGCCCTAATTTGCTCCATGCTGCGTGCAGGAGAGATTGAGGAGCCTCGGGCAGGCGGAGTGATGTGGCTCTGTTCTTGCAGCACCGCTTCCTGTCGCGGCTACTGGTGCCCACGTGCAGGGCCAGGTCGGGGGCTCGGTGCTGCTGGCGGCAGAGTGCCACCCTGGCTTCCAAGTCCGAGAGGCCATCTGGCGGTCTCTCTGGCCCTCGGAGGAGCTCCTGGCCACGTCTTTCCGGGGTTCCCTGGAGATCCTGTACCACTCCCGCTTCCTGGGCCGCACCCGGCTGCACCGCAACCTGAGCCTGGAGCTCGGGCCGCTGGAGTCCGGGGACAGCGGCAACTTCTCCGTGTTGCTCGTGGACACTGAAGGCCGGGCCTGGACCCAGATCCTGCAGCTCAAGGTGTACGGTGAGTGTGCCCGGCCCTGGCTCCCTGCCCACCTTCCCTCACACGGTCCTGGAAGGGCACCTTGAGTCCTGGGAGCTGGAGAACTGGGTTCCAGAAACCTTGGGCCTCTGACTTCGTGGCTGATTCAGAGAGTCTCCTGCAGTCGCATCTGAGAACGCTCCTCAGGTTCCCCCAGGGGAGCTGGATCGGGAGCAGCCCAGCTCTACAGTCCCAGTCTGAGCCCCAGCGTGGCATTTTCCGGACTCAGTGGTCTTGGACAGAAGGCTGAGCTCCGACATTCGCCGTCTCATTAGTAGAGTGGGCATCGTGATGTTACCACATAGATGCTCATGGCAGTGAAGTGCAGTGGGGCTTGGAAAGCATCTGGGACGGAAGTTGACCTGTGCCTCACCAGTCAAAGGGTATCAGATTAAGACATGCCATTATTTTATGTGCCACTAAAAAGGGCAAATATTGCCAATCAAACTATGGCACTATTTTTTTATTAAAGTTTATAATTCAACTGTAGTTAGAAGTACAGAATTTTTATTTTATATTTTTAAAAGAGTTATTTCAGATATATTTAGAGATCTTAACTATATATATATGCATGGGTTCTTCAGTCATTCATAGTTGCAAAACATACCATCCCCAACCTTATTGGCTAAAGACAGCTATTTTTATTTCTCACAATTCTGTAGGTTAGCCTGGCTCAGCAGGCAGACCTCTGCTCCGTGTGGGTTTGCAGGGTCATTCATGCAGCCTCGTTCAGCACCTCAGCTCAGGTGTCTGAATTCACTGGGGACAGAAAGGGGCTTTCTTTCCAGCAACTTCACCTCCACCTCCATCACAACCACCTCTACCATAACCTCTACCACTATCACTACCTCCACATCTTCTTCCTCCATCATCACCTCCACCATCACCACCTTCCTCCTTCATCACCTACCACTATCACCGCCTCTACCTCCACCATCATTTCTACCACTAACACTACCTTCGCATGTACCTCCACCAGCACCACCTCCACCTTCACTGCCTTCCTCCTTCAGCAGCCTATCACCACCTCCATCTCCACCCCCACTACCAACTCCACCTCCACCATCACTTCTACCACTATCACTATCTCTACCTCCACCTCCACCATCACTACCTCCACCTTCACCATCTTCCTCCTTCATCACCCTACCACTACCACCACCTTCACCTCCACCATCATTTCTATCACTATAACTATCTCTATCTCCAACTTCACCACTCCACTATCATCTCCACCTCTATCTCCATTACCCCCATCACCTTCACAGCCACCACCACAACCACCTCTACCTCCACCATTACTTCTACCACTATTACTATTTCTACCTCTACCTCCACACCTCCACCATCACCTCCACCTCTACCACCTTTACTATATTTCTTCTGGTCAAGAAAAAACAATGGCCTTCCAGCTCTCATTTAGATATCTAGCAGCTTGGAAATGATATGTGAATGACCCCAAAGCACAATTTCAGTAAAACCTTGGAAATTTGGTAGTGAAGAGGGGAGGACAAGGTTCAAATTCAGGAATGGAGAGTAGGGGTGACAGCTAGGAAGAGGGAAACAATGAGGGAGGGAAAGGCAGTAGCAAATTGGGAGGAGAGAAACACCCCGCCCCCTCCCTGAGACAGCTAACTGGCTGCCACTCAGGGTGCTGATAAGCACTTAGACGGGTGTCCCTCTGGATGCATGCGGCCCTGAACCAGGAGTACAGTTTGGCAAACAGCGTGCTGGCTGGGTTTCAGCACCCCCACCTTCCCCTGCTCCCCCCTGGCCAAGGCCCTTGTGCAGTGAATAACCTACACAACCGTACAGGCAGCCCTGGGGCTTCTTCCTTGTTGAGTCTCAGCTGCCGCACATGGGAAATGAGGACACTGAGTGTGAGAACACATGCAGCACCCACACCGCGAGGCTCCAGAATGCCCTGTTCTCGGCATCCGAATTACAAATTGTAAGGAAATTGCTGTTTTATTGCTTCCAAATGCATAGCTTGATTAGAACTAATTGCACAAAGCTGCCAAACAGCCGTCCTTAGGCACCCTGCTCTGACAATAGATAAAGAAGGATTTGAATTAGCAGATCAGTTACCAGACATGTCAATGTGCTCATCGTGTTTGGAAGCAGCTTGTCCTCCTAAGGAGTATAAATATCTCCCCTGTAAACTTTGTTTATACTATTAGTGTGCCCAGCATTTTTTTTTTCTTTTTTCATATTCCAAATCCCAGCACACGGAGCTGGCATCCATGAGGTTTTACTCTGCTTGGCTTTGCAATGCTGTCAGACACTGAGCCCTCTCATTGTCACCAGAAGGCTCTCCCGCTGGCCCCCTTGCCAGGGAGACCCGGGATTGACTCACCAACCTGCATAGGAAAGGGGAGCAGGACACCAGTTTGTTGAATGGCCCAGGCAGCTGAGCACCTAGAGAGCGAGGGTTATGAAGATAACAAGACAGAGCCCCTTCATAGCCCTATTTGCACCATTGTAATTATTATCTTGATCATTTCTTGTCAGCATTTGTCTGCCTCACCAAACTCTAATCTCCAAAAGTCCAGGCATGTGTATGATGGGCTGCTGCTGCTGCTGTTGTTGTTTTGGTTGTTGTTTTGGTTTTTGCCTGATGTGATAAATGCTCACTATCTCTCTGTTGATATATTATGGGGGACGTGCTATGACAAGAGACAGACAGAGGGCTTGGAAAGCTCAGCGCCACACCTGGAGGAGCAGGGAAGGCTTTGCAGTCAGGGCAGCAGGCAGTGTGTCCAAGCTGGGCCCACTGTTTTCTAGGGGGCCAAGAGGATAAAGGTATGTGTGCCCTGCTGAGACATAGGAAAGCATGGAAGAGCATGACATGTTTGAGAGAACTGGAAATTAGGGAGGACCAGCAGGAGGGATAGCTGGAGAGACGGACCTCAACCATTTTATGGAGGATTTTGAATCCCACACTTAGGAATTCAGCTTTGGTCCTGTGGTCAACAGGAAGCCAGACAAGGTTTTGGAACAAGAGTGGACTAGTCAGAGGCATTACCTACCCCGGCGTGGATCCAAGAGCCAGGGCGAGGGCCCTGCCCAGCACCCCAGTAACCCAGACCTGCTCTACTATTTTTGCCCAGATGCAGTACCCAGGCCTACGGTACAAGTGTTCATTGCTGTATCTCAGTCCCCCAAGACCTGCCAGGCTTTCCTGTCCTGTTGGGTCCCCAACATCAGTGACATAACCTATAGCTGGCGACAGGAGGGGACCATTGACTTTGGTATCGAGCCACATGGCCTCTTCACAGATGGACAGGTGTTGAGGGTTTCGCTGGGACCAGAAGACAAGGGCATGGCCTTTTCCTGCATTGTCTCCAACCCCGTCAGCTGGAATTCGACTATAGTCACCCCCTGGGAGAGCTGCCATCATGAGGCAGGTATGCCACGGGCCAAGGGGCAATGTGGGGTAGTGAAGCATCAAGTCCACTGCTGACCCTGCCCCCTCCATGTCCTGCCCCAGGGAAGGCCTCCTACAAGGATGTGCTGCTGGTGGTGGTGCCTGTCTTGCTGCTTCTGGTCCTGGCTGGTCTCTCTGCCTGGTACTGGGGCCCCTGCTCAGGTGGGAGTTCTGCACGTGCTGGAGGTGGGTGGGGAGCTAAATCTACTGGAAAGATGGGCAGATTTGGACCTCTTCCTATTTGTCTTCAGATTGTCTGCCCTCTATACCTCTCCCACCTCATCTCTTGGCCCTCTCCATCTTGCATTCTGGCCTCCAATCAGAATTGAAGTTCCTTTTGTAGCTCTTCAAGTGAGCTATTCTCTTACATACATCTTCAGGCCTTTGCACATTCCATTTTCCCTGTCTGGAGCACACTTTCCATGATTTCCCACTCAACTCCTGCATTGGATTATCTCCTATAAGATCTATATTTTTATCTATGTCAAAGAGGGGGAAGAGAAAGAGATAGAAACATCAATGATGAGAGAGAATCATTGATTGGCTGCCCCTGCACGCCCCACAACAGGGATCAATCCCGCAACCTGGGCACGTGCCCTGACTGGGAATTGAACTGTGACCTTCTGGTTCATAGGTCGATGCTCAACATTGAGCCACACTGGCTGGCTAATGTTCTGCCTTTAACGCCCATCGCTTACCCCACTCACAGCACTGATTGCACTTACTCTCCCACTGAATTCTTAACCCTTTAAAGGCAAATGCTGGGTCACCACTGGGCATCTAGCAATAGTTTCTATATCAATAAAGGTTTGTTGAGTAAAAGTTTAGTGGAATCCCAACCCCTTGTTGCCTAGAAAATATTCTCTGAGCAAAGTGCTCTCTGGCTGGGAGCTGATCGTGCCTCTTTGTCAAGGAGAAGAAAGGGGAAATTCAGTGGTCAGCCAGGTTCTGAGCTCTACACCCATCAGCCCTGCCTTTGCCCTGAATGCCCCGCCCCTGAAAGAAGCACCTCCAATGGCCTGGGCTTCCTGCTTTTGTGCATCCCAGGCTGTGTGGCTTGCTGGCCCAGGGTGGAGAGAGCGGGTCAGCAAGGAGAAGGAGGCATGAGACCTGAGTCGCTCAGCATAGAGCTGGAGCAGAGGACTGGCTCTTGTATGTTCTTTCCCTGGGGATGGGGGAAAAGCAGCTGAGGTCAAACTCCATCCAGGGGCCCTGTCTGTCCCAGGCAGTCCCGGGATTTATGTAGAAGCCGGGAAAGAGCAGCTTTTTGTTTTAACAGCTTTATTGAAATATAATTCACATACCATACAATGCACCCATTTAAAGTGCATACAGACCTGGCCGGCTTGGCTCAGTGGATAGAGCGCTGGCCTGCGGACCGATGGGTCCCGGGTTTGATTCTGGCCAAGGGCACATGCCTGGGTTGCGGGCTCGATCCCCAGTAGGGGGCGTGCAGGAGGCAGCTGATCAATGATTCTCTCTCATCATTGATGTTTCTATCTCTCTCTCCTTCTCCCTTCCTCTCTGAAATCAATAAAGAAATATATTTTTTAAAAAGTGCATGCAATTCAGTGGCTTTTATTGTATTCACAGAGTTGTGTATCCATCACCACAATCAATTTTAGAACATTTTCATTACCCCAAAAAGAACCCCAAAACCCCTTGGCCATCTCTCCCTAATCAACCTTCTCTCAGCTTAACGTTGTCAAGGCTCAGAAAAGAGTGGCTTTGGCCACCGAGAAGGACAGAAAGGACCCAACAGAAAGGCTCCTCACAGGGAGTCCAGAGCTGGCTCTGGCTCTGCCATGTGGCTTCTGGCCATTTAACTGAGTCCATCCCAGCTCTAACTTTCTATACTCTTTATAGCTAAATGCATGGCATAGTGCAGAGGGAGGCTAGACAGTAGGAAGAACTACTTGTCTTTGAAGCATCTCCTTTTCCATGGTCTTGATAAAATGGGGGGCGGGGGGAGGGTTGTGGGTGTGGTTTTTTTTGCCTGAGGTGACCTTGGGCTGGTCAAGGTTACTAAGATTCTAAACATTGGAGGGGTAACCTTCTATCTTATCTCCTTGCAGGGAGAAAGAAGAAGGAAGTCTGTGCTGATGAAGTCACTCTACAAACAGAGAACCCCCTTGTGTAGGATCTGCCATGAGGGAGGAGATAAACTGATGTGGGATCATGAGGAACCCCACTGCCCAGGCACATGATGGTCCAGGACCTAGTTGGTGCCTGGAAACTACCACGGTCCTCGTAGCTCCTGGGAGACGCCATTGCACTTTCCAGGGGCAGCCTGGGCAGCTGTCCCATTGGGAGGACAGGAAACATAGGCACAACCTTCCACACTCTCTCCCTTCCCTCTGCCCGTATTGCATGCCCTGGCTTTGGTCTGGGCAAGATGGGCCTAAGAAGATATTCCCTAAAGGACACTGGACATTCTCCAGGACCCACAGGGACAGTGACTGTCCAGGTCATTCACTTCCCACCATTGCATTTGTTGAAGTCCTAAGTCCAATTTCTCAAAATATGACTATTTGGAGATAGGGCCTTTAAAGATATAGTTAAGGTTAAATGAAGTCATTGGAATAGGGCCCTAATTTACTGGTAATATGCCTGGGGTCCTTATAAGAAGAGGAGCGACACCAGAAATGCACACACAGGGGAGAAACAGCCATGGGAGGACACAGAGAGATTGAAGCCAAAGAGTGAGGCCTCAGTAGACACCAAACCAACTGATACAGTGATGTTGGACTTTCGGTCTACAGAAGTGTGAGAAAATAAATGTCTGCTGTTTAAGTCACCCAGTCAGTGGTACCTTGTTATGATAACCCTGACAGACTGACCTGCAGCAAAGGATTGCCTCCAGCCTGGGTCCCAGGCCTTAAGAGACATTAAACCTCTGAACTAACTGTGACTCTCTCAATCACCTACTTCCAGCCCCAGTCCCAGCCCTAGCCCAGGCTCCTGCAGTTTGAGATCCTGATGACCAAGGCATTGTCATAAGAAAAGGTCTAGAAATAGGTGAAGGTGGGAGGTGGAGGACAAGGGTTTCTCTTTCTGGCCTGAAAGGCTTTCAGGTCATTTGAGTGCATGACCCTCAAAGGTAATTTACAGTTATAGACCATCAAAGGGTGGTTTATATCTCATGGTTGGGATGGGTGCCACTTTACAGGTAACACCTTTTTGTAGATAGCAACTTTTTTTTAAAATATATTTTATTGATTTTTTACAGAGAGAAAGGGAGAGAGATAGTTAGAAACATCGATGAGAGAGAAACATCGATCAGCTGCCTCCTGCACATCTCCCACTGGGGATGTGTCCGCAACCCAGGTACATGCCCTTGACCGGAATCGAACCTGGGACCTTTCAGTCCGCAGGCTGATGCTCTATCCACTGAGCTAAACCGGTTTCGGCTAGATAGCAACTTTTTAGTAGATAACTTCACCCTCTCTGTTAACTATCAGGACTCCTATAGGATCTGGGGGTGGGACTTGAGATTCTTGCCTCCAGTGACCAGAAAAAAAAGATATTAAATTTGCCCCAGCCAAAGTTTTTGCACAACTTCAAGAAAAGCAGCTCAGTTTGAGGTAAGCGTCTCTACCTGAAGCTGAGAGAGGAAAGAGCTAGGAGAAGCTAAGAAGAAGAAAAATTTCTAAGGGGAAGGGAGCTGAAGCATCCCGGCATCTGGCACACTAATTTTCAAATGCAAGTGCAGAGGATCCACCCAAGTTCAAGGAGAGAGGGAAAAGACCCACAACTCAAAAGGAAGATGGTCAAGGTCACTTTTAAAGAAGAGCTTGTTGGATGAAAGCAATTATTGTGGCCATCTTCGGAAAATACTATCTGCCACTGAGTGATTCTGTCTAGAAAAGCTCTGGGGTATTGCCACTGGAAAAATACTTGATGAGCTAAACTTTGGGATTAGTAGATGATAAGGTGCATAGTTACTCCCTTCCACATATAATTGGATTTTTTTTTTCCTGGGGCCTCACTCAGCTCTTGATAATAGAGAGGAAGGAGGCATTGAGTAAATAGGGGTAGGTTTTGAAGTATTTTCCAGGATGGCTTCGATCATTCCGCTCAGGATGTTAGTCGGGTCCAAGGATCTTCCCTCTTCACCTCAATTCCTGTGCAGTCACTTCACCTGGGACACCTGGTCAGTGCAACTGGCCTCCAGATTCATCTTGCCACTCCTCCATTTAACTAGTCCTGGAGTTTCCCTGCCTGTTAGCTCTGCTCAGAGGTGCCCTGCTGGTCAGCTGGCTTCACCTAGTCTTCATGCTTTCCCTGTACCCACTTCTCTCCCATCACCCCCAAGTCCACCTGAGCATGCACAGGGCCACCCAACCTGGGAAGTTGTGTTGCCCCCACCTGCCAGCTAGTGAATCATGCAAAACTGGCCTCAGTTCCTAAAATTATGTGAAAGAGAAAGCCCAAGATCTAGCAAGGGGCCATGGTGGTTGTATGAAGGGAGCACACACACACACACCACGCCCCACCTTACTTTCCTTCATCCCCAGAGTCCCATCTCAGATCAGAGCAGCTGTGGATGGGGTGGGGCCCACAGTTCTCCCTTCACAAGGTAACTCTTAGTGACCTCAATTAGACAGTGTTTTGTAGGGTGGTGCACCAGGACCTTTTTGAACAGATCTGTTCTGTTCAAATAAATTGATGTTCCATCCCCAATGACTCACTTGTCAACTAGTGGACTAATTAACCTCCTTTGAGGAAAAACTCAAAGTGCTTCTGTGAGAACAATATGTGTGTTAATGGGCATGTGGATTGATGCTTTAAAAGTCACACAAGAACAAGTATTGATTGAGGGTCAAGTGTGTGCTGGATGCACTTCAAGACACTAGGAAATCAGCAGTGGACAAAGCAATGCCCTTCCTTTACAGAGTTTATATTCTAGATAATAAATAAGCAAGTAAGTATATGCCAGGTGTTTGTAGATTCTGTTAAGAGAGATCAGACGAGTGAAAGACCAGCGAATGCTATGTTGAGGAGAAGGGGTCCATCTTTGGATACGGCAATTAGAGAATACCTTCTGATGAGGTGATCTTGGAACAGAAACCCAATGAAGTAGAGTGAGCCATGCAGTGTCTGGGAAAAGAGCATTCCAGAGACCAGACGATGGAAAGGCCCTGAAGTGAGAGCATGGCTGGTGTTTATGAAAACTAGAATGGAGGCCAAGGCAGCTGGGTCAAAACAAGAGAGTGAGTTTTTGTTTTGTTTGTTTCTTTCTTACTTTTTTGTTTTATTCCACATATGAGTGACATCATACAGCTTTTGTCCTTTTCTGTCTGACTTATTTTCCTTAGCATAATACCCACAAGATCCATCCATGTTATTGCAAATGGCAGTATTTATCATTTTTTATGGCTGAGTAATATTCCATTGAATATATATACCACCTCTTCTTTGCGCTTTTGTCTATCGATGGACACAGGTTGTTTCCATATCTTGCCTATTGTCAATAATGCTGCGATGAACATAGGAGTTTATATATCTTTTCAAGTTAGTGTTCTCATATTCTTCAGATAAATACCCAGAAGTGAAATTGCTGAGTCATATGATAGTTATATTCTTACTTTTTTTAGGAACCTCCAAATTGTTTTCATAGTGGCTGCACCAATTTGCAATCCCACCAACAATGCACAAGGGTTCTCTTTTCTTCACATCCTCACCAACACTTGTTATTTCTTGTCCTATTGATAATAGCCATTCAAACAGGTGTGAGGTAGTATCCTATTGTGGTTTTGATTTACATTTTCCCAATAATTAGTGATGTTGAGCATCTTTTTGCATGCCCATTGACCATCTGTATGTCTTCCTTGGAAAAATGTCTATTCAGATTCTCTGCCCATTTTTTAATTGAGTTGTTTGGGTTTTTTGTTGTTGAGTTATATAAGTTTTTTATATATTTTGGATATTAACCCCTGAACATAAATATCATTTGCAAATATTTTTCCATTCAATTGGTTGCCTTTTTGTTTAAAATGAAAATGTAACAAACAAAACAACACAAAAACAAACTCATAGATACAGACCACAGAGTGGTGGTTACCAGAGGGGAGGGGGGGAAGAGCAGGGTGAAATGGGTAAAGGTGAAGAATTATAACATTGTACACCTGAAATTATTTAATGTTATTAACCAACTAGAGGCCCGATGCATGAAATTCATGCAAGGGGCTCGGCCCTCGCAGCCATGGTGGCTTGCCTCGGCCCTCGCCGCCCGTGCTTCATCCAGAAGGTCATCTGGAAGGATGTCTGGAAGGTCATTCGGCTGTCCAGTAAAATTAGCATATTATATTTTTAGTATTATAAATGTTACCCCGATTAAAATAAATAAATTAGAAGACAGCCCTAACCGGTTTGGCTCAGTGGATAGAACATCGGACTGCGGACTGGAAGATTCTAGCTTTGATTCCGGTCAAGAGCATGTACCTTGGTTGCAGGCACATCCCCAGTAGGAGGTGTGTAGGAGGCAGCTGATCGATGTTTCTAACTATCCCTCTCCCTTCCTCTCTGTAAAAAATCAATAAAATATATTAAAAAAACAACAACAAGGGGCTGAGAGTGGAAAGGGAGTGTCAGTGTAATGGTGTTGGGCCACAGCACATGGGACCTTGCAGTCTTCAGAATTCCCCTTCCCTGGGGTGAGCATGGCCAGGAGAGCCCTATGGCAACCTTTGTACTATTATTTCCAGTGGGCTCGTGGTCAGACCAGAGTCCTCTCCAAATCTGTTTTTGCTTTTACTTGTTTTTGTTATATTTTCCTTGAGCAAGACCCTCTGTTTCTGTCCTTCTGTGCAAAGGAAAAATACAAGAGCTGCTGGGGCAAAGGTGTCATGTGACATGATGTCAGAGAGAATGGAGAGATGGTTAGAGAAAAGAAAAGGGTTAGAGAGACATTATTTTAATCAATGGAGACAGGAGCACCCAGTGCCTTGTTTAAAAACAATGGCTGCAAATATCATGACATCTCGCAGATCTTCCTTCCACCATTATTAGAAGTAGCACCTGTTCGGTTCATCAGCACTTGGTAACTTACTCGTCTGCAGAGAAACACCATCTTCCTCCAGCTCTGACTCAATGGCTCCCTGCAACTGTTCTGCATGCAGCCTGAAAGAGGGCCTCTACAGCAGCACATCC